CTTTTACTTATGTTTATAGTACACATTGTTTGTGTTTTGTTCATGAACTATGTTTTTTTCTACTTGAACTGAAACCAAGTGTCCTTGACTATGGCTGTATGTACTTGCAGAAACTGGACCCACGCATCTCGGCTGCTACCTAGCTTTTGAGAACTTATATTGTACATGGTGATGGTGGGAGGCTGAGTATAGCGGACGTACTCGGCATTTCGACAACTAGTGTATTCGAAAGCACCAACAACGTGGTGAACTGAATGACGTGAACGTGCAAACACCATAAGCGCATCACAAGCGATGGTAAACGTCCACCTATAGGAATGTGACGTTTCTGTGACCTGCATTTGTCTTAAATTCCGAATTTGTATAGGATACTGATGTGCGTCTTTGGTGAACGCCGCAGAGGCGCAGAGGCGTGGTCGGGTGCAACACCAACAAGAGGCGAAGAAAATAAACTATACCGATACACCCCAAACTCCAAAGGGCCCAAACCACAAGAGACCATTCCACCAAACTTGTTGATCTTCATCATGCAGATGATTTCTTGCAAAGACCTTTGCCCAAAAACGGTAAATATTATCCAAACTACACAGCACTGTGAAGTGCGAGAGCACTACTGACTACACACAGTACACAATACACACATCCGCGATTCCACGCGTAAAATTACCAAATAAATGATAAAATCACGACAAACAATCAAATAACTTTTTTTATTTAAAAAAAAAGGTGTCCTCGTGCCATTGGTCGATTCTTCAAACGTAAACAAAAAGGGCCACATTAGGTAATATTTAATTAGTTAATTTTTCCTTTAGCGTGTTCCACAGGGGCGTTTTTCCCGAACCATCAAGCATCAGAGTTGTCACTGTTGAAGTGTTGAGACTTGAGACTGTGAAGTGTGGACTGTGGTGCGCGGGCGTGTCGTCTCAGACGTATCTATTTGTCTCTATTTGTTTTTTTCCAATATTGTCCACAAAGAGAGAAGAAAAAAATTGTATTTAATTCAAGGACGCAGCTATTTTCAAATCATTCTTGCTTAGTGTAAATACCCAAATAAATACAAATGGTAAAGATCGGAATTAACGGATTCGGCCGAATTGGTCGCCTAGTGCTTCGCGCTGCGCTTAAGCACAGTGAGGTTGAGGTTGTTGGTGTGAACGATCCCTTCATCCCTCTAGACTACATGCGTTACATGTTTATGTACGATTCCACTCACGGTGCCTTCCCTGGAACCGTTGAGATCAAGGACGGTAAGCTCGTTGTTGACGGTAGTGCCATCACCGTGTTCGACAAGCGTGACCCCGCTGACATTGACTGGGCCTCATGCGGTGCGGAGTACGTTGTTGAATCTACTGGTGTGTTCACCTCACTTGAGGGTGCCGGTAAGCACATGAAGGGAGGTGCCAAGAAGGTTATCATCTCCGCTCCCTCTGGTGACGCCCCCATGTTCGTAATGGGAGTGAACCACAAGGAGTACAAGAGCGATATGGACATTGTATCCAACGCTTCATGCACAACCAACTGCTTGGCACCCCTAGCCAAGGTCATCCACGACAACTACGGAATTGTCGACGGACTTATGACTACCGTACACTCATACACCGCCACCCAGAAGACCGTTGATGGCCCATCCATGAAGGACTGGCGTGGTGGCCGTGGAGCCGCCCAGAACATCATCCCCTCATCTACTGGAGCTGCCAAGGCTGTCGGTAAGGTTATTCCCGACTTGAATGGAAAGCTTACAGGTATGTCCATGCGTGTACCAACCGCTGACGTGTCTGTGGTTGATCTTACTGTCAACCTGAAGAAGGGAGCTTCCCTTGCTGACATCAAGAAGACAGTCAAGGCTGCCGCTGAGGGTGAGCTTAAGGGTGTGCTTGGATACACTGAGGATGCTGTTGTCTCAATGGACTTCCGTGGAGATGAGCGCTCTTCTATCTTCGATGCTGATGCCTGCATTGCTCTTACGGATACCTTTGTCAAGCTAATCTCATGGTACGATAACGAGTGGGGATACTCTCATCGTGTCGTCGATCTTCTTGTCCATATGACCAAGCAGTAAACAATACAAATTTGTTATATAGAAGAGAAGTGTGAAAAATTAAAGAATTGAAAGATGTGTGTAAATCTTAGTCTGTTTTCTATTGTATTTGGACTACGATGATCATATTGCAAAGGTACATTTATGTGTAGACGAATATTAGTGGTGGACTATGGTTCGCTGCTACGCGTTTTTGAGCGCGGAATCGCCTTCTACATCTAGTTGTAATTTGATATATTTGCTAGGAATGCATTACCCGTATTTTACACCACTATGGAAACTGTCACATACACCAGCATAAGAATATGTTACAAGTTGCAACACTTCTGGAGTCATTTCTTATGACAAATTGTATCGTTATTTGAGGTTTCAAGACAACAACGTACAAGGATCCTACTTATTGAAAATAGAAGGCGGTAGATTGCCCAAAGAGTTTTATCGCAACACTAGCGGAGCGCAATTAATCTCTGGACATACGATACCCATTAATATATGTCGTTCAGAAAATATGACTTTAAACTGTACAACGGAGATAACTTCTAGTACAACTCAAATGGATGGCGACGTATTAATTTTTGAAACAAAGCGAACCGACAACGCGATCACAGTTCGACGAGAGCGAATATTTATTTGAACTCTTGTATGGACGCGGATTGTGGCGCCAGAACTTCTCTCCAAAGCGCGCAACTGTATAGAAACACTATCCACTCCGCTGATGCGCTACTTTAATAATCGAGTCCGCGTCTAAGTTTTGGATAGAAAATACGATGTAATCATTGGTCATAGTACCAGAATTGTTAATACCAAAAATCCAAGCAGCTTCGGCTGAAGCAAACGCTCTCTCAAGTTGAAGATCTACAAGCATACTATACTACTTGCAACGTGATTATCCTCAAACAAAAATGCCGAGAGCCGATGATATCGTGACCGGTGATATAAAGTGTTTTAAGCGCTATGAACTCCAGGAGGCGCCGATGAGATAAAAATGTGTAGCTAAACGTCTATATATGACCCATTTCCATCAATTAATACAAGTGACTGCATACTCGGTGATGATCAAAATATTTCCGAGTGTCGAACGTTCTGTGTTTTTGTGACGGGCACTTTGGGCAAATTCCTTGTCCAACAATGGATTACCGCAAAATTAGTGAGGATTTTTCTTCGCCCAAACAGCCTACAGTAGTGAATTGCACCGGTTGAGCTGAGCGATAGTTCGCCGATTATTCCGGATTGTGGCCAGGTCATGGTGTATTAATTGAGAAAACGTCTGGAAATGAAGAAAGTAGTAATGAGACTCGAGAAAAATATAAATATAAAAATATATAATGAAGTAAAAAAAACCAGTGTAGCAAAGTGAAGTTGACAATTGTCGATGCAGTTGTGTATGAGATTGAAAAGTATACAACATGCAAAACAATGTATCTACGAATTTTACGTAAATATATATACATATACATATACATACACCTACACCTACACATGCACGTACACATACGCATATACATATATATATACGTATACATACATATATATATAATATATATATATATATATTTATATA